TAAAACTCTTTCTCCCCCCCCCCCCCCCCTCTCTCTCTCTCTCTCTCTCTCTCTCTCTCTCTCTCTCTCTCTCTCTCCGAAACACACTCATTTCTTTTGTAATTTTCATGTATATAATGTTTATTTAATATATTTAATATTATTATTTATTTAATATATTATTATTTTAAATATTATTACATATTTTCAGAAATTAAACCACCAAACACAATTTCAGTTTTTTTAAACTGAAAACAATTTCAGAATAAAACTACCAAACGTATTTTCAAAAATGATTCCAAAATGAAAATAAAAACGTTTTCATTTTCATTTTCATACAGAAAACAAAATCATTTTGGAACCAATTCCAAACGCACCCATACTTTTTATACTTTTTTAAATTTTTTTCTAAATTCTTTTAGGTTTAATCTATGTGGGGTGTATTTTCCCCCTACCTGTAGGGTGATTCACTCGAGCTCTTGATCAAAGTCAACGGTCAATAATAATCTTTCCTATAGAAACGTAAATAGAGACTACCACACTAGATTAGATGAACAAAAAGTTCTCAAAAAATAACAAAATATTAATAATAAAAAAAACATCTTTCTTCTTCGATACAAACACCAGCACAGCTGCACTGCCGTCTTTTCCACTGCCGACCACAAAGCATCGCCTTCGCCGACAACACCGGCCCATCCAACAAGATTCAAAACATTCGATCTCCTTAATCCCACTTCGTTCTTTGGAATATGAGAACCAAAAAAGAAAAATTATTATCAAAAAATAGTTACCCATATACCCAAATAAATCCCAAACCCAAATCAAGCCATCACAAAATCGAAAACGTTCTATGCTATTCGGATGCGAATAGAGCGTTAGAGAGAGGGCCGACGAGCCGTCCCGTGGGTTGTGGCAACCATGAGAGAGAAGAAGCTGATGAAGCTTTTTGATTAGAGAGATCATATGGCGACGACGTACAAGTCAAGCTTCTAGCAGCGAGATGGAGCGCGGTGGGGATGATTCTACGATTTTTACAGAAATCAAAGGATATTGGGTCTAACTCAACCTAACAAAACCGGCTTGTTAGGGGATGATTGCCCTCACCTTATTAAGTGGATCATGCTAATATCTCCAGCCAATGTGGGATTCTAATACGCCCCCTCACGCACAGTATGGACCATGCCAAACCGCTGCGAATAAGTCGATATTGGGGGACCCAATATTACAAAACTGAGCCTGCTCTGATACCATTTTAGTTTACCAATCCATCCTAAAAGCTTAAGCTATTAAGAGGTAGACCAACAATAATTTTATACTTTAACACTCCCCCTCACGTGTGGGTTGGACAATGGGCAATCGTGTGGGTAACTTAATTGAAAAGCCCAACACGTGAATATTTAAGCCCGAGATATATTAAAGACCCAACACGTAATGACAATTTAAATGAGGATAAAAAGTGCAATTACGGGGGTTTGAACTCAGGACATCCCACTCTGATACCATGTTAGTTTACCAATCCATCCCAAAAGCTTAAGCTATTAGGAGGTGGGCCAACAATAGTTTTATACTTTAACAGGGGAAGGGCCAACGAGCCCTCCCGTGAGATCGGGGCAGCCATGAGAGAGAAGATGCCAACGAAGTTCTTTGATCAGAGATATCAGACTGTGACGACGTGCAGGTTGAGATTCTAGCTGCGAGGTGGAACACGATGGGGGATGTTTCTCCGACACGGGTATGGATGACAATTTTAGCTGTTAACTCATTTACAGCGGGACTCGCATTAAACAGGCCAGAAAAATCCGCTTTAAACGGATTCGATTGTCGTGTGATGGGGAAGGATTTGATTCATAATCATAATTTAAAATTATTTTTAATTTATGTGTATTTTTATGTGAAAAAATATTATAAAAAATTATATCATATCATATTTTTATATTATATATATTATGTATAATGTGCTATAATATATAATTTTAAGTATAATCTATTACAAAATATATATAAAAATTTAAAACTACCTCATTTTATTTTTAACTTAATAATTTATATGCTTGTACTTTTAATTAATTAATTATTTATTTTACAATGAAAATAATTAATTGAGTAAATGGGGTAGCACGAATATTTTAAACTCGTGACGGGAAAATCCGTCTCGTAACTCGTCAACTTATGCGGATTTATAGAGCGGGTATGGTGAGTGTTTTTGTTCACGGGATAAGTTGGCGAGAAGACCACCCCACCTCAAATCCGTCTCATTGCCATCCTTAGGCGAAGAGAGGTGGTGAGTATTTTTGTTCGCGGGACGAGTTGGCGAGAAGACCACCCACCTCAAATCTACCTGGGGGGTGGTTAAGTGCGGGGGATTTTAATTTTATTTGATACCTTCATCTTTGTTTACTGTTTGATTTTGATATATGGATATGAGTAGGGGGAAAGTAACTCCCTTATCATAGAGTTTGCCGTTTGTTTTAATTCAAGCAGTGTGTTCATAACAATAACGATTTAAAAAAGTAAGAAAAAACAGAGAACAACATTGATACCCTCTATATATATATATATATAAATATATATTATTTTTCTAAATTATAAAGACACCCATTTAACCAAAACAATTTCCTTAGTTAACTTTTATGTAAAATGACCAAAATAACCAAACATTAATCGTCACCATTAGAGTGCAAGTTATAGTTTTATGTATTCAAAAATCACGTAACATCATTTTTATTAACGAAATAAGGGTAAAATATCACTTTAATTTAGGCCATAAATGTAGTTGGAATCATTCTCAAAAGCGTAGAGGGGTATTTTAATCATTTTGGAAAATTCAACAGTATAACAAACTAAGTATTTTCGTCATATTTAATTAACTGAGAGATTGTCTTTTGTAATATTTTGAAATCAATGGACGCAAAATATTTCAATTAAGAGGGTGTCTCTTTAATTTGAGAAAATACACAGAATCTTAGGGTAAAAATTAAAAATTGATGGATCATGATGTGGCAATATATGTTCGGAGGAAGATATATCAAACTGGATAATATGTAAGTCATGATTTTTTTTTTTAATTTTATTATTTCTTTTAGGGAGAGAACATGATCCCTTATTAAGCTACCAGGAGTCTTAACATATTTCGGACTCTTTATGTGTAAATTAAATTTAAATCTCTTCAGAGAAATAGTATATTCAAATACCATTGTTTGAAAAGGGTATTCAAATACCGGTGGCTCTAAGCTTGGGATCGTTTGGTCCTCTCAACATGGTACTCCTTTGAACTATGCACGGTGTGGTGGTCAGAGTTAGTGGTTGGAGCGATATGGTCATGGTTTTCTCTATGGTGGGGCACGTCCTTTTACTGGCGGTGACTGGCGAGGGTGCGTGGTTCTTAATTCTTGGAGACTCGGCTTGGTTCTAAATTTATTCTAACTCACGCGTTGTGTTGTGGTTTCCCTGTTCATCATTGGTAGCGGTTGGATTATAACTTATTTCGGTCGGTGTAACTTAGGGTTTTCCCTTTTGTTTTAGTTTTTGTGTTGGTCAAATAAGAGCATTTATGTTTCCAAACTTGTCATTATGTTGGTATGTTCATGATCTGATAGAGCATTCAAAATTGCGGATGAGAGTATCGGGTATTTACTAATATATAACGACCTTTTATTTAATTATTTTTAAAAACATTAAATAATTTGACTCAGTATTTTTATTTTCATTTTCTTACTATAAACTTGCATATTATACCCACGCTCTTTTGCCCGAAATTACTTTTCCATATTGCCTCGCGAAACGACTTATCCACATGCACTTTTCAGAAAATTAATGTTTGGTGACTTGGTGCTATTAGCACTTAGCATTAATCTATAAAATTGCACAGACTATACATGTAGCGTCTTTAAAATATTTGCACCAAACTTGTCTATAAAATCGATTTTGATTGCACTTAGCATTAATCTATAAAATTGCACCAAACTATACATGTAGCGTCTTTAAAATATTTGCACCAAACTTGTCTATAAAATCGATTTTAATTGCACTTAGCATTAATCTATAAAATTGCACCAAACTAGTCATGTAGCATCTTTAAAATATATTTGCACCAAACTTGTCAATAAAATAGATTTTAACTGCACCGTTCGATGTAAAATAAACTATCAGATTGTTCAACCTTAATCATACATCTTTAAATGGTTTGTCCAGCAAAGCAAGTTGAAATAAGTCATGTTGTTATTTTATTTGCAGGCCCTTTAATTTCAAATAATGCCATAATGATAATAGTTAGAAAAATTTTGGTGATTGCGTGTGTTTGACGATTTGGTTGGTCTAAACACACTTAATAGGAACTTGACTTGAGCAATGAACACGATAGGTGTTATTGTGTCCTGCTAGTCAATTTGGAAAGAGATTGTGACAGCTACCAAAGAGTCACAACAAAAATTCAAGTATTTCCGGTCATCACATCAAATGTATATTAACTTTGTCTTTTCTTTTTTCGGGTTTGAAATAGGACGACTTTTCATTACTATTGGTTTCCAAGCGACAATTTTCCGCGCTTGTAAGGTAAGTTTGTTCATCAACTTGTATGAATATTGTGATCGGTTTATTTATTTATTTGTTTTTTTTTTCTTTTCTATCTCTATTTTGACAGGATAACACATAAATTCTTTCGTATTATTAAAATTGTAATAAATTCACTGGCCTCTAATTTATTCACTGACTTAGAACTTATTAAAAGTATGTAGCATTCATGTAATATGAAGAGCTTAAATAATTTAGATATTATCATTAATAAATCTAATATAATTAACAACTTTTTTTTACATAGAATTAAGCTTATTTATATGTATTATTATAACTTTTATAAACTAAAACAAAAAAAACTATGAAAAGCGCTAGAAGGAGGGCTTGAACCTCCGACCTTGTGGTTAACAGCCACACGCTCTAGCCAACTGAGCTATTCCAGCTTGAAATCCTTATCAATCTAAATAATAATTAGTAGTATATATAGTAAGAAATGTACGCCCAAGGAAAATGTTTGTTGCTTAATATGGATGTACGTGTCAAATGAGCCAGGCGATCCATGACGGCCCGGCCCAGCCCATAATAGTGTCAAATGAGCCACGACCCTGTACGATACTGTTACGGACCGTGCCAGCCCGGCACATTTGATGGCCAAGGGCTGGGCCACGGCTTCTCAGCCCGGCCCTGGCCCGTGAAGGCTTGCAGCCCGGCCCAAGCCCTCCAACCCGTTCGGATTGTGACCGTTGGGCCCGTGAAGGGCCCAACGGTAACAATCTGAAAAAAAAAAACCCCAAAAATCCTAACCCTTAATCCCGCCCTAAATCTCACACAACAATTCACTCTCAACTTCTTATCTCACTCTAATTCTATCTCTCATCTTGTCTATTTGATTTTGATTCTAAGATTTTTTCTTGCGATCACTCATTTTCTTACTCTTTCATTTACAAAGTTTAAGTTCAATCAATTTTCAGAAAATGGCCGCATCAAACTTCCATGATTTCACTGCTCTTCCTGAGCTTGGTGATGAGCCATTTTTCGTGGATGAAATGATGCCTCCGAACTCCACCCCTACTGAACCGGAAAATGCTCCGGTTGATAATCAGTACACAATGAGGAAGTTAGAGAACGCAGCAAGGGAAATAGACCGCGAACTTCTCCTGCATGGCAGCATTTCACATAGGAGCCCCGACCAAATCCAAAAACATGTGAAATGAAAATTCGTGCGGTATGTGAGTATTGTAAAAAACACTTATCTAATAAAAATGGTGGGAGTACTAGTCATCTAAATAGATATTGAAAAGCATGTCTACCGTTGCACCAAGGTGGGAGTGTGGACTCCCGCCAACAAACACTATCACTCAGGGTTGCAAAATTTTACATATGGTATATATCACTAGTTTAGTTATTTTTTCTCTCTTTTTTTTCCTCTTTTTCTCCAAAGATTTCATTTATTTTACATATCTAATTCATTTGAGTGTATAGCAGGTCTTTTCTCAATATATCTTCTAGTTGCCAGAATCAAGCGATTTACAGTTAGGGGTCAGATTTCTATTATTATAACCAGCCTGAAAGATATTTTCAATGACCCTCCTGATCTTTAGATTATAATCTCTTTCGGTAAACAAATATATTTTAACCATTAATGTGTATGATTTAATTAATAATACATCTCCATATGGTGTAAGCATCCTATCATTTGATTAACACCATCAGATAGAACGTCTAAATTGTACTTTAAAAAAAAAAAAAAAGGTTTAGGTTCCTTCTTTAAATCCTTACAGTCACGTACGGACATTTTCAGCATTGAAATTTGACAAATTTATACGAGAATAATATAAATTCAAAATTATTAAGAAAGTACTGAAGACATAGTTTTACACATTAGATTGAATTTCTAAATCATTAAGTAGAAAATGAAGAAAATAAAAGTGATCACAGAATTTATTTATTGCAAGAGATCAGAGAAAGTATTCAACATATATATAATATTACACATTTCTCCATCCAAAAGATGGTAGTTTTATTTTATTTTCTGAAAGAAAGTTGAGTTTTCATTTGATGAATTGATTATAAGCTGGAATATTTTAATATTTAGTCAATAAATTTAATATATCACTTGGAAGCTGTTGCTGCGGCAACCACCTTTCTAATAGGTGATCTTGCTTCACGAGTCATTCTCTCCCGGGAAAGCATTCTAGCAACCCTGATTAGATATATACAATATAAAATTAGCCATATAATTAAACAAATCAACTTTACTGAAACATACAATGTTCGTGTAATGAAATTGACAGTTTTTTGCTAGGTAATATGAAATTGACAGTTTTATTACATAAGATATACTAATCAAATATTAATTAATTAATTATACCTTCTAAGAGCTTCTTCATTTGTAGTTTCATGAAAAGTCTCATAGATACCGCTATCCAAATTCACCCTTGAAATTGATTTCTTCAACAATGCCTCGCCAATTTTCACAAGGTTACCCAGGTTTTCCTCTGTTGCCATATCAACAGAAGATTCCGTATAGCCCAGAGTATCATCCTGAAATAATTCTCACCCGACTCAGCATGATTATAATTTTATAAGACAAACATATAGTTTAAAAAGAAAACATATGTATATTTATATATATATAAATTTATGCTGCAGGTACAAGTAATTAATGGAAGACCAATATATTGGAACTAATACATATAATATATTGGTCTTCCATTACTTGTACCTGCAGCATAAATACTAAACTATATATATATATATATATATATACAGAAATATAACGCATACTTGGATCCGAAGGTAATTTTTGTCTGAGTGGAGAGCCTGAAACACAGTAGCGAGAAAGAAGTCAACCAAGTCACTACTAGCTTCAGTAAATATATCAGCCAACGGAGTGGAATGGTGGCTGTTTAACCATCCGATGATACCCCATTTTGCTGCTTCATCGGCGTTGTATTTCTCCACGCTTTTTGGTGAGCCTGTTCCTAATGATATAACCAGGAATCGCCCAAATTCCATTGGCTTGATCGGAGAGAAGTCAGGATTTCCCTGGTGAATTTCTTTTGCAATTTCATTTACAGCAACCAAAGCCTGAAAAACACCATGAATTAATATCTAGTTCACACGTGACAACATGAATAAGCCAAAGCCTTTTTACTTATGGTATATGATTTTCTAATATTTTTTTTGAATTAGCTATAGTACCGGGTTGTTGGCTGCAACACCGCCATCAATGATATGGAATTCTCTGACAACTTCGCCATTGGAGTTTTCGGTATTGAAACAGTGAGCCGGAAGATAAGTTGGCGCCGCGGAGGTTCCGATGCATATATCTGATAGTAAAGCATCTAGGCTGGGGTTTCTTTTGACCTAATCAATCAACCAAAAACCAAGAGTACTAAATAATGAAAGTACTAAAATTTTTGAGGTCTTAAATTTTTACAGGTAATTAACGACAACATAGCAATTCAAAATCAGGCTAGGATTGTCCAAAGTAACCTCATAGCTGGAGAAGATAATCGGCTGGAGACGCTTGATGTCAAAAGTTGGAATAATAACATTAGTGAGTGTTTGGTGCAATTTCAAGTCTCCTAGTTTCTCTTTGAGCAGCTTGTGCAAGTACTTGCCATCATATTTCGGCCCCGTCAGAGATTTAATGATCTCGGTGGCTCGGCCAGCAAGTGGGATGCTGAAAATATGTGGCCAAATATAGGGTATATATTTAATGTTAATTAAACGTTGTTAGGTAAGAAAACACTTAGATAATATGGTACCTAGCTATAAAGTTTGTCACAAACAGTTAATGAATTAGCCAATATGGTAGCTAGCAATAAAGTTTGACAAAAACAATTAATCAGCAACATTCACCAATTAGACAACCTATCTTGAGGGAAGATTTTTGGGCAGTGTTGAAGGTAAAAGTTCTTGATATCCTTTGCAGCGAACAATGGCCGGTTTTTTTCATTTGGGGCCGCAAGCATGGCCGTCACAAGTCCGCCGGTGCTAGTCCCCGCGATCACGTCAAAATAGTCTGCAATTCTTGCATCCTCACCATCCAGCTTCTGTCATTACATGCACACATCCAACATATTATAGTAGATCAATACTTTGAAAGATGAGTTTCTCGTTCTATAAATACCTGAAGCTCAGACTCTAAGAAGCCAAGGACTATAGCTGGAATAATGCCTCTTATGCCGCCACCATCGATGCTAAGGACAGTGATAACATTTCCGTAAGTTGGAGACTGTAGGAATGATCTTGCTCTCTCCATGACCGATTGAGAATAAAGCCAGGGAAACTATCTAAAATGACAAGAGATTTGAGATTTTTGGGGACAAAGAGGCGGCTGAGAAGGAATAAATAATTAAGTGATACATATATAGAAACCAAAGAGTACTAATTAAGATTCGGCTACTAGTACTGATCCTTATAAAAATCTATGAGGTCCCCAACGTAGATTTGACTTTTATGTTCAACAAATATGTTCACTCCACCTCGACATATAGAATTCAAATACCCCACCATTAAGTAATATATAAGGATAAAATTAATTTAATACCGTCAATACCTTCTATTTTTAATGATATTAAAATGGCACTTTTACTTTTAAAAAAATGTTCTTTCGGTTTACCTTTAAAAAAAATTATTTCAGTGGCCTGTGACTGATTTTTAAGACATTAAATGTTCATTATATATACCCTTTATATTAATTAACAATAAATTAATAATTTTTAAAAAATATTAAGAAACTACTTTAAAACATTATTTAAAAGTTAAAAAATTAAAATAAGCTAAAATATTTTTAGAAAATATTTTTAAAACTATTAGTTTCTATTTAATTAATAAAATGACAGTTTAGATATTATATGTCTCAAAAGTCGGTTTCAAAATACCAAAAAACAATTTTTTTTCTTTAAATATGAAGGTACAATTTTATTATTATTGAAAACAAAGAGTATGAGATATTTTTATCCCATATATATATAAGACTTTCCCTAAAAAAAAATGTTTAAGGCTTTTATCTGGACCCGCTGACAATAATATGTAACTAGCTCAGCCTGCCAGTTAATAGTGTTATGTTTGCATGTGTACTTGAAAATGATTAGTATCAAATCAATATACTCGAATTACAGATTGGAATTTTTTTTCCTTACTAGTTTCACGCCGAAGCAGGTCAGAATAACAGTGAGAATTTATGTGTCTATTTTAAGCCCGTTGATTTAACCGATTTGAATTTAAAATTTGAGTTTTATTATAGTAAAATTGTCATGTATAGAAAAAAAATCATCTCAATCAGAATTAAAACGAAAAAAGTTATGACATTTTTAAAAATAAAAAAAAATATTGTTCATTAACTTGAGTTTGAGTTTATGAACTCGAGTTAAAGAGGAAATTTGAACTCGAGTTTAGCCTCAAACTCGAGTTTAAACTCGAGGTCAAACTCAAATTTTACAAAATAGCATGAACTTGAATAAAGTTGTAATTCGAGTTCAAATTTTTTTTGAGTTTCGTTGTAAAAGAACAACCAAGCTTCAATTTTAATTTTTTAAGATTTATTTTATCATAATTTGTTTTTTTTATAGAAAAAAGTTGTGAAAATTGCAATTCTATACTTCAAGTCTTTTTGTTACGTTCGTTAAAAGAAAAATATGTTTTTTGCTATTTTTCTAACGTGTGTAACGAAAACTATGTCAAACTAAACAAATGGTGGTTACACTTTTTTTAAATAAAATAGAAAAAATAAATTAAATGTAAATGATAAAACATTCAATTTAAATAAATTATATGAATCCATAAAAGAAATAAATTATATGAAGAAAATTTCCTAAATAACTCATATATTATTTTGACATTTCTCATTTTCTATTTTAGTATAGATTTATAGAAATATCGCATATTTATTATTAAAATAGCATAAAAAAGATCCCTGGCCCATAAAACTTTATTAAAAAATTAAACTATCCTTATTGATATATATTTTATTTCAAACAACACTTTACAAAAAACTAAACAGAATAACTTGTAAAATGTTAAAAATTTACTAAAAATAAACAACCCAAAACAACCAAAAAATTGAATGAAAAAAAAAAAAAAAAAAACCTGAAAGTCTGAATATCCAAAAATAATTTTTTTCATTAATTTTTTTTGTTATATTAATATCTAAGAAAATGATTAACATAAATTATTAGGGGCAACTCAATATTTTTAAAAATATTATTTGTTAAGCGACTAATTATGTATACATCCTAAAAACTGAAAGATACTTTTCAATTTCTATAAATAAAGGGCGCAAAATAATGAGTCTTTTTAAGTAGAACTCGTTTTATAAAGAAAATAAAGAGAATATTTTAGTGTAGCAAATTAAAGAGAAAATTATTTAAGAGTACAAATGCAAAAAAAAAAAAAAAAAAAAAAAGTATTTGAGAGGGCTAATAAAATACCTAATTAAGATAAATATTTATACGTTCAATGTTTAGAAAAATAAAATTTTGAGGACCGTAAAAATTTATTTAAGTAAAAGGTATATTTGAGTAAAGTTGTTTGAACAAAACATATTCTAGAAAAATTATTCTATTGGAATATGTTTAAATATATGAAATTAAAAGAGATAAATGTACAAAAGTAAACGTCCTATTAAAAAAATATTTGAATAAAGACAAATCAAATAGAAATCATATTAAGGGGATATATACGATAAGGACAGCGATGATCAAATAGAATCGCATTTGAGAAACAAAATATTTTAATGATGATGTTAGAAAACCAAAGTAATTTTGAAATCCATACTTGATAAAATAACGTTTTAAATGATTGCAGAAAAGCGATTTTAGTGGTAACATGGTTGAGGAAAAATATTTCAAGGGGGGCAATTAAGAAGAAAAATGAATTCCAATGAAGCATTTAAAAATAAAGGACTTTAGAGGGGAAAGAGAAAATTAGAGAAAATATAAAACAAAAATGCAATGGAACATTTCTTTTTTTTTTTTTTTAAGAAAAGAAGCACTGAAGAACAAAAAATATACATGCAAACTGATTGAGTAGTTAAAAAATGAAAGAAATATGGTGCAAATAAGAGATAAATTACTTCCGGATATAGGAGAGAATAATATTTGAGAGTGCTGTAATATAAAAAAAAAAGGAAGTTTAAATAAGGTAGGTACTTATAAAGACCAAGTTTGAAGAAAATAATATTTTTGTACTGCAATATAAAATATTTTAGTAGGGAGCACATTTAACAAAAGACCTTTGAATAGAATATATTAGTAAAAAGTATATATATATATATATATATATTTATTTAAATGAGGCACATTTAGAAGTATAAGATTTTTTTCAAAAAAAGATGTGCCAAAAAACATGTTTTAATCAAAGCGTGTATTTCAGCATTATAGATAGAGACAAATATAAGATATTTAAGAAAAAAATATTTTAATGAGGGAAAATTAATGGAAAACTTATTATGGCATACATGTGAGAAGAAACAAAATATTAAAGTAGGGTACATTTAAAAAAAACAATTTTAATAGACTAATTATGAAAAAGAATATGAATGAAGGTTACATTTGATAAAATAATATATTACGGGATTGTAAGAAAAAAAAAATTTTAAGGTAAAATAAGCAATAACTCGACGATTTTTTTGAACAGTGCCAAAAGCAACTGTCATTTATAAGATAGTAGTAGATATATGTGTTAATTACATATATATATATATATCTATTATGTAATAGATGTTAAAAGAATGTCCATAAATTGTAATATTAACACATAAATCTGTAAAAAAATTTGTGATAACATTTTTATCCTTTGTTAACAACCTTTAAAGTGATGGATAATATTATTTAATTAAGGACATATTCTAGACATGGAGTTTATGAGTGAGAGAGAGTGAGGGAAAGAAATAATAATAGGTTTTGAGAAACGTTGGACACAAAAATCAAGAGAGAGTGAAAATCAATGTAAAAATAATAATAAATTCACAAAAGATAAAATAACTTTTAAAACCCCATTCATTTCACGTATTCGAGTTTAGAATTCGAGTTTTGCTACAATAAAAAACTCTAAAAAATAGTTACATCTAATTTTTTTTGCTACAATAAAAAGCTCTCACATAAAGTCACATCTCAACTCGAATTAAAAACTCGAATCAACGAACTAAACAAATCGTTAATCAAAAATTTTTTTTGTTTTGAAAAAGAAGTTTGCATTTAAACAAAAACAAAGAAACAAACACAATACGAGGCTAATGACCCATTAGAGGAACAGACGTGCCCTTGAGGCCTAAAATGGGAGAAAAATTCATCACACTAAGACCTAGGGCTCTATTTTGAAAAAGTCCTCCCATCATCAAGATAAACTTTAGAATGCTGGAGGGGCAAATTGTCAACCCCCCACATAGTGGAGACATCAGCAACATGGCTTAAAAAAAATTCTAACTGGATCAAAAAATTCACACCAAATCAGTAAATAACTTAACTGGGTGGGAGACAACCAAAAGTCAGAAGGTGGGAAAACCACCTCCCTTATTACAAGACAAAGCCGAGCATACACCAGCAACCAAAACTTAAAGAACGCTGCCATCGTCGCCTTTATTACATACCAAACATAAAACAAATAAAAAAATTCAAACAAAAAAAAAAAGAAACTCCGGCACTGTAGAGAGAACAAACGGTGATGAGCCAAACACCACAGCCAACAAAACCAAGGGAAGCAAGCTAAAAGAGGGCCAAGAGAGCTAGGAGAAACACCTTGGAGACAAAGATCTCCAAACCCATGAAGAACCAGAGTCGTGTGCCTCACATTGACGTAGCCTGCCGCTACGCCATATCTACTGTCAAGAACAACTCCACCCACGCTTCTCCCCCTCAAATTTGTCACCACAAGAGAGTTGAGACACCGAGAGAACATGGCTGCCGAAGTTTCGATGCACCCCACAAACACCAACGGACATTCGAAATTCACCTCCCTCAAACTAATCAGATTTCAGTCTTCATAGCCTTAGAAACGATCCAAACACCCACATCCTCACCAAGGAAATCCAAATCTCCAATTTTAGGGCCGAAATTTGAGGGGCAGCTAGTCGACGGTGCCGATTCCAACCCTAAGAAACCTAAAGAGAAGACCAAAAACTCTACGCTTGAGAGAGAAAAGACAAAGCCCTAAGCTAACCAAGTTTTTGAATAGTAAAAGGATCATATATATAATAGTAATAGATATTACAAAAAAAAAAAAAAAAAATACCCCATTAATGTTAGTTATATATCCAAAATATGCGCGTCATATGTCTTTTTCTAAGCAAATAAGCATAATCGACGAATCCAAATTTCTTGGAGTCGTTATCATACTTTTATTTGTTTCCCTTTCTATACTCGTAATTGAGATAGTTTGTTTGGTATGTAGTACGTATTTTGCTATTTAGTATGTAGTACGTATTTGGTTATATAGAAGTGAACATTCTTGTTTAGCGACAACGAGTTTCCGTCTTTATGGAGGAAGTCCTGTTCTTTCACAGAAGCCAACTGGTGTCAACTTATATATTAAGTACTTTTTATTTTTTCCCTTCCCGACGTCTGGATTTTTTTTTTCTTTTTTTTAAGCAAGTAAAAAATTTATGTTACTAACCCTATATTTAATTTATCGGGCTCTTAGCTAATTTAATTTATATCCTAAAACTTTTGAAGAAGGCAATTTCAACTTTCTCGATATACATATTACTTAATCAAAGCAGGAAAAAATTAATTATTCAATTGGACAGTTAAATTAGATTATCTTGGAAATATAAGTACTAGCTCAAATATGAATTCTGTATTTTGATGTTACTGTGTTAGTATCTAAGACAATGGCAATATTTCATAGGCATATTGTGTATCTAGTAATTGGTTTTTCCACATAAAATCAGCATTTGTTTAATGTAAAAAGTAACCATTGGAAAAAAAAAAAAAATTGTACCGTAATTTCTTCGATGAATTATAAAATAAGAAAGTAACAAAAAAAAATTATACAGGCTTAAGCTAAGTATTATAAACTATTAGTACCACTGGACGTATTACAAATCACAATAATCATTGAACTCCATGAAACATGTGTTATGTATGATGGTTTTATTACTGAACATGAATTATTATAATTAGCTGGAATGATTAGGCGATAATCTGTTTGATCAGTTGATCAGCATCCAAATATCCAATACATCACTTTAAATTAGCTGCTGCGAGCTTTCCGATAGGTGATCTAGCTTCACGAGCCTTTCTCTCCCGAGAAAGTATTCCCGCAACCCTGTCGAAATCAACACAAAAGGAATTCATATTCATGTTATATTTTGCTTATAGCCGGTTTAGTTTATAGATTTGAATGGAAATTCAAATCTCTTACGAAAGCAAAGAATTAAAAATATGTATATATTTGGAATGTGGTTCAAACTCACAAAATAAACGGGTTTTTCAATAAATCAGTACCGGTGCAATATTAAATAATTAAAATATAGGTCATTTTCGTTTCACTCATTCGAATTAAGAATTTAGAGTTAAAAAGTATATTCATATGAGAAAAAATATTATAACAAAAAAATTAAATTTAAATTTTTATAAGAAAAAACACTGTAATAAAAACTTGATTTGTGATTTGAATTAACGAAACAAACAGTGACATAGCTAGGTAGTACGGCAGTGGTAGTATAATTACTTACCTTATGAGAGCTTCTTCATTTGTAACATGATGATGAGAAGGCTCACAAACACCGGTCTCCAAATTCACCCTCGAAACCGGTTTCTTCAACAGCGCCTCTCCAACTTTCACAAGTTCATTCAGGTTTTCCTTGGTCGCAATATCCACAGAAGATACCTTTTCACTCAGTGTATCATCCTGCAATTAATTAACTAATTTCATCAATATTTGCTCGATCATTAGAGTTGACCAGCAACAATATGTAATATATATATATATATATATATGTATGTATATAATTATTACCTGAATACGAAGGTAATTTTTCTCTGAGTGCAAAGCCTGAAATACGGTAGAAAGGAAGAAATCAACCAAGTCACTGCTTGCTTGAGTGAATATATCCACCAAAGGCGAGGAATTGTGGCTGTTCAACCATCCCAAAACACCCCACTTTGCTGCTTCTTTTGCATCGTACTTCTCATCAGCTTTTGGTGAACCTGTTCCTAACGATATAACCAGAAAACGACCGTAATCCGTCGGCTTAATTGGGAAGAAATCATTATTCCCTTGGTGGATTTCCTTTGACACTTCATTTATAGCCACCAAAGCCTAAAAGTAGTCAATTAATTAGTGGCAATATAGTTAACTAGTTTTGTGTGTAAGCATACACATGGATCAGAGGCCTATTAGACCAAATTTATCACTTAATTACCGGATTGTTAGCGGCGACACCACCATCAATGAGATGGAACTCTCTCACTTGGCCGCTTGAGTCTGAGGTTTCGAAACGATGGGCCGGAAGATAGGTTGGGGCTGCTGAAGTTCCCGTGCATATATCTGAGAGTAACGCATCAAGACTGGGGTTCTTTTTCACCTATATTTAAATTATGCATGACATCATTGAAAACAAAAATTGAAAATTCATTAGCAGCTCATAATCCAACTTCTCAGGGGGTGCACTAGCTAGATCATGCACATTTAAACAAAGTGTACTACAATATTACCAGCTAATTAATAATTCTGTATTTAATATCAAATCCCATTATTACTCATGTGCGACTTGGTTATAGTTTGATCCTTGAAAGAGGCGTACCTCATAACTTGAGAAGATAGTTGGCTGGAGGCGCTTGATATCAAAGGTTGGGATTACAACGTTGGTCAGTGTCTGGTGCAACCGCAAGTCTCCTAATTTTTCTCTGAGTAAATTGTGCAAATACTTGCCATCATATTTTGGTCCCATCATAGCTTTAAGCGTCTCTGCTGCCCCAGCAAGTGGAAAGCTGTACTTGTTCAAACAAAATATCTAGGTTCATCACTGAAAATTGTTACATACATATATATATATAGTCAAAATGTCAAATATATATTTAATTGATACCTTTCTTGAGGGAAGATTTTTGGGCAGTGTTGAAGGTAGAAATCCTTGATATCCTTGGCAGCAAAGCGCGGACGGGTGTCTTCGTTTGGAGCAGTAAGCATGGCAGTGACAAGCCCACCTGTACTCGTTCCCGCGATGACATCAAAATAGTCCGCAAGTCTTGCATCCTCGCCGTCTAGTTTCTGCAATATGTGTTTTAACATATTGTACAAAATTTGGTCATTAAGAATGAGATGTTGTACTACTTATCCAGTACTTGATCTCTTAATCAGAGTAAACATTTTGATTGATCACTAAGGCATATATGCAGGGCATGCAGTAAAAATCGTATGATTGAACTAGATCATGTTATGAAGGCCCTTAACTAACAACTATAAGTGGCGTAATGTCGTTTTTTTGTACCTGAAGCTCAGCCTCTAAGCAGCTAAGGATAATTCCGGGAATAATGCCTCTTATGCCACCACCATCAATACTAAGAACAGTGATGACATTTCCGTAAGTTGGAGATTGTAAGAATGATCTTGCTCTCTCCATGAGAAATATAGTTCACAATGTTCTTATACTCGAAAAAAGGATCGATATGGAAAGGAATTATAGAAGTTACTATAGATTTCAAGATTGTGTATAGAGGGTGAAAAAAATTTAGGAGGAAGCCTGGTTAATTATGAATTACTGATCATGAAACCTCAAGATCGCTCCTTATATACAAACTTTCAATTTCTGGTCTACCTTTTGACTTGTATGTATGTACAAGAAATGGATTTAATTTGGACCAAGTAATACAAGTATGTCCAAATAATTTTCTTTCTGACCCAATATTACTTACATGGTTGAAATTTGACCACGTCCACACCAAATGAAATATTGACTGCTCTAAATTTCCAAGTATCTGGCAAAGAAAGGAGATGTTTCATATTGGTTATCAATTTCTCTAAATTATTTCTAATCTTAGTTGGTATGTATGATCAATAATGAGTAACCTATCACACACACACACACACACACACACACACACACACACATATATATATATATCTTTGTCCTCCAGTTTTTTTTTTTTAGTAATTTTTTACTGGAATCGTTAGAGAATATGTATCGTGATCAAGACTGAATTTGACACGACATTTCCTGGCATTTTTTAATGATCCGAACTTGTTATGTTAAACATAAAGTCCAACACGTGCATAGATTATTTTATATGCGTCTTACATCAATCACTGTGGTAATATTCATAGATTTTATCGTGGAAGAAAAGGTATATGAGAGAGAGAATGAGAAATTATATTGCATACGTGGTGAAATAGTGATGGGCAACAGATGGTCGTAATTTACAGCCAGCTAAGTTTTATAATCTTGATCCCTTGACAGAAGTCCTAATTTTGTCATTATATATATATATACATATATATATATATATATAATATATAATTTCCTCGAAGGATAACATTTCTCAATCCCGAATGCATCTGAATTTTTCCAAGTAATAAAAAATTATTCATTTGAAGAGTTTGGTACGAATTCCAGGAAAGTCGCCTGTAATATTTTCTTAAGCAACATAAATAAATACGCTTTTTTCAGATCGCAAGAAAATAAATACGCTTTCTTCACGAAAACTATTCCACCATGTAATCATGTAAGTGTACCATAATATTTATTTTATAGAGCAATGACTTCATAAATACATATAGTTAACAAGAAGTTATCTATTGCAAATTAACATTTCATAATAATTATGACATAAAAAGACCCCATTCATTTCACCGATTCGAGTTTAAAATTTGAGTTTTGCTACAGTAAAAAACTCTAAAAAATAATCACATCTAACTTTTTTACTATAACAATAAACTCTCATAAAAAATCACATTTCAACTTAAATTAAAAACTCGAATCAGTAAATTAAACGGGCTAATATCATGTTATTATTTTCATAATTGGGATTTCATCAAACAACCAAGGACAAGACAGAGTCCAAAGAAGAACAAGACCACTTGACTGGGTGCTAAAAACAAAAAGCAAAAAAAGAAGCCACGACGAGGAGTTTCCATCCAATCAACCACTGAACACAAGTCAATAGCAAGAGCCGCCTTTCATGAACCGGTCCGTTCAACAGATCGTGAGGAACCCAACAGAAACTATATATATATATTGAAAAACATAAACAGTAAGTGTTTTTTCTCATAAAAAATACACATAAATTAAAAATAATTTTAAATTATAATTCTGAACTCATAAACCAAACGTCCACGTAATAATACATCTTCAACAACATATATAATCAACAACATATATAATCGAATTTCTAAAAAGGAAGTGATCGTCTATTTATGGTATTAATAACAGGCAAACAATCTCCTTCACAAATCAATTTGTTCTAACATGAATTGCAAAGGCTTCTCCCGTTGAAGCTGCGACAAACAAACCACTCTCTTAAACCATACGTCAGATATGAAACCTCTAATCGTCTCTTGTGTTATTTTTTATGACTTATTGTCTGTTATTGTTTGCGCATACAAACATATCCCGAGTATCATCGCACTTCGTTGGCATATTGTTGACGACGACCTTGTGCATGCCATCGGAGTCGTGCGTCACAATAGCATCTTATGGCCTTGCACGACCTCACAACTAGATTCAGAATCTGACTCCATGTGACTCTTAAAATATTGATGGAATTAACGATAAAAAATTTTGCTATCTGTTGTAAAACTTATAGATTTAACTAGTTACTAACCCGCGCAGGCGCGTAGTATTTTTGTATTATACAAAAATAAAAGTAGTTTATATGTATGATTGTGTATAAATAAATACATATAATATGTTAAACAAAACTTTATTTACACTGTACTCCAACTTGTTTTGTTGTTGAAGCTGAAACATTCTAAATAAATTCATATATGTAAGCATATTACTAAGAAATCAATAAAGTGCAAGTATACATATCAAAGCCATTAGAACATAATAAAATACTAAAACCATAAATCAACAGCAATGCTAAAGCAAAGAGACAATAGTTATTAATAACATTAGAAAAAAGCAAGTAAAAGCTATTAATAATATCTGAAACGCTATCATATTGCTCTAACTGTAAGATATGGACCAACCAGAAAGGAAAGAAGCAGTCAAAGGTTGAAGGATAAGCAAACAAAGTGTTAGGCCACCTATTAGATTGGTCTACTCAAGGAAAAGGGGCCAAAAGGAGAATATGTTGCGAAGGGGGGAGGGAAGTGGAAATACGTGAAAGAAGTGCCAAGGTGGCAAGTTGGTTACGAGGGGAAGGTGCTGGGTGGTATTTGAGGCGAGGAAGGACCTTGGGAGGAGGGTCGAGAAATTGGAAAGATTCTGGACCATTGGGAGGACGGAGAACCTCGAATTCTCCACGTTCAATTCTGTCATTTTTATTCTGCTAATCTTCTTTTTTTCTTGCTGTTTGGCTGAACTGTGTAAGAAAGAACATCCCTCGAGAGGGAGTTGTGCTTGGAATTAATAAAAGAGCTTGGCTCAACGTTGGATTTGTTTCAATATTTGTTGAGTTATTTGGAAATCTGGGCAGGAACCTAACACAAAGTAGTAGATGATAGAGGATAAGATGAAGCACCAAATGATCAAGGGTAAAACAACAGCAGATAAAAGCAGTAAAGGCACATAAATAAAGAAGCAGAGCAGTAAATAAGGAGCAACAGAGTGAAACGGTAGATGGTGAAGGATAGAACTACTTGTTTATGAGTAAAATACTAAGTAGACATAGATCACTAATATCTGTTAACAATAGGGAGTAATATTCCGTAGCTTTTTAGATCAGCACAATATCCATCCATAATATAATAAAAATGTATGCCAACATGGATAACAAAAGATAAACAACAGATATTGATACTGCCATAGTAAATTATGACATCCATTCTCAGTAACAATCACTAAAAGTGTATAGATAAAAGTTCTTATATATACCTCAGGCACCGCAGATAGCACTCTAAGTGGAAAAGATGTGCCAAGCAAGTCTGCTGAATAATAGGAGACCTAAAACAATATACATAAATAAATAAGTAAGCAGACAAACAAATAAGTAAATTAAGAAAGAAAGATAAACAGGGAAAAAGAAAAAATATATATATATACATATGTATATATAAGGGAGGAAAAAAAGAAGAAGATAGAATCAGGGAGAAAAATGGCCAAAAACAAAAGCGGGAAAAAAAAATTACAAAAACAGGAACATCACAATATTTTTACTTCTTTTTTATGTAGTCATGACAGCCATAGTTGGTTTTGAAAATGAAACATTTTATTAAAATGCTATTTAAAGAAAAATTTACTGAAAAAGATATGGAAAGGAAATCAATAAGTATAGATCACTTACTTATAGAACAAAGAATGAAATAAAAATTGATTACTAATATTTATTAATAATGGGACTAAATTTTAATCAACCTTATAGATTGACAGTAGCTATCAATACAGTGACAAACTGCATAGGATAAAAGATAAAAAGACATAAATGACTACTATTATCAATGGCATAGCAAATTGATATATTTAGTATCAGCAACAGTCATGGAACCGTATAGAGAAAAACTTTTATTGATATTTCAATAAGAAAGAATGCAAAGGAAAAGAGAAAGGAGAAAAGAAAAAAATAAACGAAAAAAGAAAAAGCGTCCAAAAAAGGGGGAAAAACTGCCAAAAAAATTTGTAAAACATAAATAGCATAGTATTTTTATACAAGAATCATGGCTCAGGTATTAAATGTTTTTATCAATGTGTAATGAACAAATAAACTTATATGCTTCTAGCCAATTTGTGGCTACCTACTATGGACAACTGCACAAAGGCATGAATATTAATAAGATATTTGGACCATCACACAAATTATAGTCTGTATGTTTCAAAGAATAACTGGACAGAGTAAGATATAAAGTTGTCCGAGAACTACCAGTGGATGAAAAGGAAAAGAAAAAAATAGGGATCCTCTTGCTTATACGAAGTAGAGAGAAAACAAAAATCAAGTAAAAGATATAGCTCAAAACGAAACTGAGGAGAGGGAAAATCAGAACAAATAGGAAGACAAAACACAAAGATATTAGAAAATGCATCATGCACAATGAGAGGAACCTGCCTTGGCAACAGATCATTCCAAGTACATAATTGAAAGTTAAAAGGTAAAACAGAGACGAAAAGGATACAAAATAACATATTATATGAGTAAATAAATCTCAATTGA